GATCCTAAAAGCGAGACCATCTACGGTTACTCGGAGCGGCAACAACCACTACTACTCGAGGTGATCTGCAATGGGCGATGCCTCCAGGCACCGGTGGACAGCGGTGCGTCTCACTCGGTGTGCGACCGCGGGAGGTTGGAGAAAATTTGGGAACCTTCAGAGGAGACCAAGTTCACGGCAACGATGGTGGACGGTACGAAACTTCCCATCCACGGCGAAGCATCACTGCAGCTGCACATAGGGGCTCTGAGGTGGAAGCCGACGTTGCCGATCACGAACATCAAGGGATTAGATTTCATCTTGGGGCGAGATTTCCTGAAGCGGTTCAACCCCGAGATCGACTGGATCAATAGGAAGGCGTGCATCTGCAACAACGGGAAACGAGTGGAGCTGCGAAGCTGGATGGATACAGGGAGCGTTCCTGAAACGACACTGGCACGGTTCGAACGGACTGTGAACGAGAGTAACACGGGTTACTTAGCACTGGTTATGGCAGCAGCAGAGGAGGAGAAGCTGAGTACAGAGCTACCTGCAGCAGTGAAGGAGGTCTTGGAGCAGTACAAGGATATAATGCCCGATGACCTACCTACAAACGTACCCCTGCACGCACCCACGAGCACGAGATCGTGGAGGAACCAGGTGCGAAACCCGTCTCACGCGCACCATACCGCCTGAGTCCGACCGAATTGACAGACATGAAGAAGCAGATAGAGTATCTACTGGACAGACAACTGATCCGCCCATCCACCTCTCCCTACGGTACACCACTTCTCTTCACTCCAAAACCAGACGGCAGTCTACGGATGTGCATCGACTACCGCGCACTGAACAAATAGACAGTTCAAACAAATACCCCATACCACGCATAGACGACCTACTGGACCAACTGCATGGTGCAACAGTCTTTTCGAAGCTGGACCTACGGTCGGGTTATTGGCAGATCAAGATGGCAGATAATTCGGTCCACAAGATGGCGTTCCGTACCAGATACGGCTCCTACGAATACTTGGTGATGCCGTTCGGACTCTGCAACGCACCAGCAACGTTTTAGGCGGAGATGAATCATATCTTACGACCCCTGCTGGACGAGTCATAGTGGTGTACCTGGACGACATTCTCATCTACTCCAAGAACATGAAGGAGCACGTGGAGCACGGAAGGTGTTTGAGATTTTGCGGAAGAACAAGTTCTACGTGAAGCTGTCGAAGAGCGACTTTGCCCTGAAGAAGGTGCAGTTTCTCGGGCACATGGTGAGTGCCGAGGGCGTACACGTGGACCCGCGGAAAATCGAAGCCGTTAAGAAGTGGAAAGTACCGGAGAACGTGAAGGAGTTGTAGCAGTTCCTAGGCTTCGCCAACTACTACAACCGGTTCGTGCCCCAAAGATAGCAGCGCCACTGACCGACCTACTGAAAAAGGATACGCCCTTCAAATGGGATACTCCTCATCAGCAAGCCATGGAACAGCTACAGTCAGTACTGACTACAGCGCCAGTACTATCTTACCGGATCCAGACAAGGACTACGTGGTGGAAGCAGACGCTAGTGACCAAGCAGTCGGAGCAGTACTGATGCAGGATCACGGACGCGGTTTGCAGCCCATCACCTACCTCAGTAAGAAGCTACACGGAGCAGAACTAAACTACCCCATCCATGACAAGGAAGCCTTAGCGATAGTCATAGCCTTCAAGGCGTGGAGGTCTTACCTAGAGGGAGCCAAAACTACAGTCATACTGACTACTGAAGTCTCAAATACCTAAAGTCACAGCCGACGCTCTCACGACGATAGGTGCGGTGGGTGGACTTTCTGGAAACTCACTTCCACTACGACATCATCTACAAGCCCGGGCTACACAATAAGGCAGATGCGTTGAGCCGCCCCGGACATGTAGCAGGCATCCAGCTCGACGGGATGAACCCTCTGCTCAAGGGTCTATTCCAACATGATTACTCCGTGGATGCAGAGATCGCTACATCACAGACCAAGAAGCCATTACAGTGGGAGAAAGACTTAGCTGTAAGGAAGGGTTCAAGAAAGATTTGGGTACCGAATTACGCCCCGCTATGGCAGATCCTCTTAGAGGAGTTTCACGACGTACCTTACGCGGGACATTTCGGAGCAACAAGACGTGATAGCGAAGTATTACTACTGGCCCGGGATGGCAGCAGACGTGCAGCAGTTCGTCACCTCTTGCGGACACGTGCTAGTGGATAAAGAGCAGCAAGCAGAAAAAAAGCAGGGTTACTTTAGCCTCTACCTGTACCGTAACAGCCATGGCAGGTCATTAGCCTCGACTTCATCACAGAACTTCCTTCGACCTCACGGGGGCACGATTCCACCCTCGTGGTGATCGATAAGTTTTCCAAAATGGGTCACTTCATACCGACCAAAGCCACAGCTACAGCTGAAGCAACTGCTCGCCTCTTCTTCGACCGCATCATCACCATCCACGGCATCCCCGCTACACTCATCTCAGACAGAGACCCAAAATTCACCGGTAAGTTCTGGAAGGAGCTCATGGGACTGTTGGGGACAAAGCTTGCAATGTCTTTAGCGTACCACCCCCAGACTGACGGACAGACAGAGCGACTCAATCAAGTGGTTGAACAGTTACTGTGCACAGCTTGCAAGGACGACGTCAGCCACTGGGACATACAGTTACGGCCCTAGAGTTTGCTTACAACAACGCATCACATGCGGCGACAGGGAATACTCCTTTCTTCCTGTCTTACGGACGGGAACCACTTACACCACAGCAGCCAACCACACCGGCACAGATCCAAGCCGCACATGACTTCGTCACCACCATGCATCAGCTATGGGAGAAGACTCAGTGATGACTCACCACGATGCAGACCTCCCAGAAGCAGTATGCCGATCGTCAGCAACGTGATCACTCAGTAGCAGTCGGAGATCAGGTGCTTCTTGACACGCGCAACTTAAACCTGTCTCACCTCCCATCCAAACTCGGGCCTTGCTTCTGTGGTCTTTTTCTCAATGAGGCACAGGTGACGCCAGTTACATTACGCTTGCGCTTACCAGATACATGGAAGCTTCACAACGCTTTCCATGTCCAGCTACTGAAACCCTACAAGGACCCCAACCTACTGCTCCAGGGATGGGAGCTACCGCCACCACCACCTGTACTCATACAGGATGAACTAGAATACGAGATTGAGCGCGTTCTCACTCATCGGCGCTGCGGCGGCAAGGCCCTCGAGTTCCTGATACGCTGGAAGGGATACGACCCCTCTGAGGACAGTTGGGTTGCAGAAGCTGATATGGGCAACGCACGCCGTGCTCTCAAGGACTATCTTGTCAAGCAGGGTGTATCTCACGCCACCCAGCTTTGAGGGGGGACGTGTGAGAGTACGACGGCTTATGCCAGCTATGCTTGCTTGCCTTTACTTTATCATGCTATTTCTAGCATTGGATAATTATATGCATGCATGAAATGCTTGATTTCCTAGGCTAGGTGCTTTCCTATATTTTATTATAGTTATAGCACCGAGCTAGGTTGCGTGCACCGAATTCTAGCTTTTCGGTTGCTAACGAATTGCCTTCTACCGAATTCGGGAAGGATCTGCTCGGGACGCTTCGCGACCCGCGGAACCTTCGCGTAACACCTGGTTACTAGGCCTTGTGTCGAGCCTATATATAGCCTCGTGTTATACCTAGGTGATCATTCAAATCAATTCACATTCTCTTTTCTGAGCTTGATCATAGATCCTCACATTTGGTATCAGAGCCACTGTACCGCCAGCACCGCACTGCACAAAACGCACCGGACAACATTTTTCATGGACAGCCCAGCTACGCCAATGACGAGGACGACATTGACGTGGCAGGAGAACAGCCAGACACGGCAGCAGCAGATGAAGCACCCTTCATCCCTGTTACGGAGCAGTTCGGTACTCCTACACACTGTGAGGATAAGAATGAGGAATGATTGCATTGAGCAGCATGAGGAGCACAAGTAGGAAACCCTAAAGTGCTGTACCCCATATGAACTATCCCACTACAGCCTACACAGACTATAGCATATAAGTTTGACACACCCCCATAAGCAAAAAAGGGGAGAACAAGAGGTCACAAGACCAGCCAAGAGAAGCAAAGCAAGCTCAGGGTGGATCACAACATCACCACACATTTTGAGCACCAGTTCAAGGCCACAAGGCCAGCTCACATACAGGATTATAAAGCAACGTGAACAAGCAAGATAGTGATCTCAACCTAGCAAGGGTAAGCATGCAGGTGCAGGCATATATAGATCACAGTACAAACAAAGTCAAGAGGTAGGCAACTGAGGCCCGGTAGGCACAAGACCTAGCAAAGTACAGAAACGCTGATGATCACAAGGCTGAAGTGCCTTGGTAAAGATATCAGCAGTGTTGGCCCGAGAGGCCACGTAAGCAAGACGAAGCTGACCACGCTGCTGCAACTCTCGAGCAAGGAAGTAGCGCAGAGCAATGTGCTTTGTTCTGTGCTCCAGTCTGTGCTCCTGACACAAGGCCTGCATGGCCTTGTTGTCGACGTACAGAACTGGAGGAGAACGAGGCGCCTCTCCCAAGTCGGTCAGCAGGTAGGTGAGCCAGCGTAAATCCTGTGCAGCCATGGCCCCAGTGTAGATCTCAGCCTTAGAACTGGAGCCGAGAACAGAAGACGAGTGGGTAGACCGCCACGAAATAGAGCCGGAACCAAAGGCTGAAGGTGTAACCCTGTGACGAGCACTGCGTAGCCAAGTAATCAACCCAAGAAGCGTCTGCGTGACCAATGAGGACAACTCAAGCCCGTCCTCCAAGCACGAGCCCCATGCCCGACGTACTGCACAAGTAGCGCAACACCCTCTTAGCTACAGCCATGTGCTCATGTCTGTGTCTCCTAGGAGCAACATAACATGCCAAGATGCTAAGAGGGTATGCCAGGTCAGGTCGAGTGCAGGTCATCAGGTACATGAGGCAGCCAACAAGCTCTGGGTACGGGCCACTCGGCTCTACGGACTCATCCGAAGGCAGAGCTGAGAGCGAATGGCGAGTAGACAGTGGCCTGAGGCGAGGAGTACGTGAAGTTGAAGCGCTGAAGAACCTGCTGCACCATGTGTGACTGAGTAAAGGTAATGGTGCGCCGTGCTCTATCCCGGGTGATGTGCAAGCGAAGATAGCTGCGAAGTTCACCCAGGTCTGTGCACGCGTGTCTGTTCTGCAGCTCCGACTTCACGTGGGCGAGTCCCTCAGTGTCAGCAGTGGCAAAGACCAAGTCATCAACATACACGAGGATGTAGAACGGCGGCAGCGAAGTGTCGGTGCGTAGAAACAGCGACCGGTCAGCAGTAGAAGGAGCAAACCCAAGAGCCGCAAGCGTAGTGCTCAGTGTGTCGTGCCACTCACGGGGCGCCTGGTGGAGACCGTAGACTTGCCGCCGAAGGCTCCACTGGGTACCAGGAGGAAACGGCCCGGTGAAGCCAGGTGGGTGGCGTAGCCAGATCTCCTCGTGCAGGCTGCCCTGTAGGAAAGCAGTGTTGAAGTCAAGAGAGTGAAGCTCGTAGTCACGCTGAGTAGCGACGTGCACCAGAACCCGAAGAGGCTCATCCTTGATGTCGGGGAGAAGGTCTGGAAGAAGTCAACTCTCTGTCGCTGACTGAAGCCTCGAGCAACGTAACACGCCTTGAAGACAGGCGGAGAACCCATCGGCCGCTTCACCCTGAAAATCGACACGCCACTGACGATGTTCGCCCCAGGAGGGGGAACCTCGTCGACGTAGGTGCTTGTGGACTTCCAAGAAGCCATCTCTGCATCCATGGCTGACAGCCACTGAGAGAACCCTCTATCGCCTCTGCGTAAGAGCGCGGGGTCGGGATGTCTGGTGCATCCGGGTCTCGCTTAAATGCAATCAGCATGGACAAGGGATGAAGCAGCTGCAAAGCACTCAAAGTCCTCCTGCCTGTCCTCAAGGACGTCCATGCCAAGAGCACACTCACCCCCGACGGACGGAGGACAGACAGACTTAGACTCAGCAACAAGACTCGCGGCGTAGTCTAGACGACAGTGAGCAGCAAAGTCGACAAGCTCAGCAACTAAGGCAGACGCAGCAGTGGACTCAAAGGAAGGGTCATTGACAACAGTGGCCAGGAGATGCGTGACAGTAGTACTAGCAGCACGAACGGAGTCAGACTACGGGTCACCAAGGGCAGAAAGAGAGGACGCAAGAGGAGACGGCAGAGGGACACGCTGCGGAGCAGTAGAAGGTCGCAGAGCCATCCGGTGCGTTCCAGGGACAGGGGAGGACGCTGACGCGAACCAGAACGACTAGTGCAAGCATCACGAACAGGCAACGCAGGACAAAACGCAGGCTCACGACGCTCAGCAAGACCTTCGGTCGGACCAGTGTAAGGAGAAGGAGCAGGCAGTGGGGAGGCGGGCTGTAACTGTGACTGCGACTGGACAAGCGGTGGACACTCTAAGGAAGGAGCGGGACCAGTAGAAGGCGGGAGACCAAGAACCTGCTGAAGGAGCGGAACGTAGTACGGCCGCGGCCGCGCAGCGCCTCCAGAACTAGCAGGGACAGCACTTGCACCCCAAACGGGAGCTCCAACTCCAGTAGCACCACCAGCTCCAGCAGCACCTCCAGCTGCTCCAGTAGCGCCAAATCCAGCACCCACAGGAGCACCGGCTCTTGCAGCCCCTCCAGCTCCAACACCTCTAGCAGCTCCAGCTCTAGCAGGACCACTAGAAGTCCCAGCAGCGCCAGCACCTCCAACCCCAGTACCTCCAGCAGCACCTGCTCCAGCAGCTCCACCAGGCCCAGCAGCTCCAGTACCTCCAATACGAGCACCTCCGGGACTAGTAGCTCCAGCAGCAGCAGGACCTCCAGCGCCTGTAGCACCACCAGCTCCAGCAGTACGGCTCTAGCGGCGAGCAAACCACTCGCGCAGCTGCTGTGGAGAGAGTGGCTCCCGCGGGGACGAAGCACCCGAAAGACCTCCACGCGCTGCACCTCCAGACTCCACGAGCGCAGGCTCAGCACCCTCAGGCTCTGCACCCCCAGACTCAGCAACCCCAGGCTCAGCACCCCCAGACTCAGCACCCCCTGGCTCCGCACGCTCAGGCTCAGCACCCCCGGACCCGGCACCCGCAGGCTCAGCACCCCTAGCAGCACCATAGTCGACAGCTACCTCGACAGGCTCGACTGCGTCTACCTTCGACACACCTGAGGGGGCAGGACCCTGAGGGGGGAGGGGGTTTACCGGGGGAGGACCTGGCGCGAGGAAGAGCGGCAGGGGGGGGAGGGGGGCAGTGCGGTAGGGGAAGAGACGGTAGCAAGGAACCGACTCCTCAAACGTGATGTCCTGAGAGGACAGAACACAGCGCGAGGTGGGTTGGTAAAACTGCCACTCTGGCGCGTCAGTGGGGAAGCCAAGGAAGACGCAGGGAATAGCACGGGAGGACAGCTTGTCCGCAGAAGAGTCGCAGACGAAAGCCCGAGATCCCCAAACACGGAACGCAGACGCATCGCCAACCTTCCCCGTCCACCGCAGAGTAGGTGTGGTCTCCGGCAAGGAGACACGAGGCTGAAGGTTGATCTGGTGCGCAGCGTACTGAACCGCGAACGGCCACAGAAAATGGGGAGCAGCCGCATGGATCATGGACGTATGAGCTACGTCCATGACCATGCCAATGCGGCGCTCAGCAATCCCATTTTGCTGCGGAGAGGTCGGAAGCGTGAACGTCTGGCGGATGCCCTCCGCACGACAGAAGGCTTGCAAAAGGTCGGAGGAAAACTCTCCACCTCTGTCGGAGTGCAGACGCAAAACAGGAAGGTCCGAGCCGAAAATCTCGCTGAGCTGACGACGGGCAGCGCAGATCCAATCGATCAGCACCTCAGTGACCTCACCCTTGCGGCACAAGGGGAAGACGGTGGTGTAACGCGAGTAGTCGTCAATGACCAGCAGAAAGTAGCGCTCGTGACCCTGGCCACGGACACGGGCTGGGCCCCACACGTCCATGTGAAGCGTCATTAGGGGAGCCTTTCGTGGAGGAGTGTGCAAGGACCGGACCCCCAGAGGGGTCAGCCAGAGAGACTGCCTCTGGCAGACAGAGCGGCGAGAGTGTGGTGCAGTCGCGAAAGAAGGAGCGGGAAGCACCCGAGTCAAGGGTGAAAGTGTGCAAGGCCGTAGCAGGCGTAGTACCAGAGAGAGCAGACTCACCAGCACCTGGAGGAGTGGACTCCCTAGCGCCTAGAGCAGCAGCCTCACCGGCACCTGGAGCAGGAGACGCACCAGCACCTTGAGCGGCAGCCTCACCAACACCTAGAGCAGCAGACTCTATACCTGGGTTAGGCGGCACACACAGGTAACAGGCCCCCTCAGCACTGGTAGGCAATGCATACATGGCAGTAAGGATAGCATCATGGTCAAGAGCAAAGATATCTACTCTCTGCCTAAGCAGCTCCACCTAGTCGGGGAGCTCAGCCGCGTCGCCAAACTTTGTACGCTAGGCGTCGCTCAAACGGGAGAAGCAGCGGGACTATGTGTGACCAATCGTCCCGCAAGGCTGACCAGCCCGAGCACTAGTGCGAATGAGGTACGGGCAGCGAACAGTACTCCGTGACCCTCCACTCTGAGCGTACCACTCACGAAGCTGCTGGGGCGAAAAAAACCGCGCGCGAACGCTGCTACAGCTGCACCTGGTCACTACAAGAAGCTCCCGAACGACCCGCTCTAGGGCGAATCCCAGCACGGCCACCCCTACAACCCCAACTAGCGTACCACTCACGAAGCTGTTGGGGCATGAGGGACTCACGCGGACGTCGCTGGAGCTGCATCTGGCCACCGCCAAGAGCAGCAGTAGCAGTAGTAGCTGCAGTAGCAGCAGTAGCAGTAGTAACAGCAGTAGCAGCAGTAGCAAGAGTAGCAACAGTAGCAGCGCGACCACCCCTACAACTGTTATGTGATGCTATCATCTGCATTCGCGTCTGTCTGCCTCCCATCATATGTTCGTGCGTTGCATGCGTGGTGTGAGCGTCTGCAAGAATCTGTGTTTTGTGCGGTTTGGTTTTTCTGAGTGTGTGTGAATGTTATTTGGCTTGAGCAGATATCTGAAGTGACTCCTCTACTCAAGAGCTTTCCGACGAACCAAGTATCGCTTCAAACGGAGCACGAACAAGAAAGTTACGAACGTTGGAGTTCGCATGCTTTTCATATTTGATTGTGGCAACTGTGGGAAGTTGTGGGGTTGACTCAATATGGGGTACAGACTTTTGGGGGTTGGGAAATTCGTCTTTTCTACTGTAGCTCCTGCCAAATGGTTGGGTGAAACCAAACCAGGTTGGCAAGTGTGGCCAAGTTGGATTGAGGTGGATTGTGGAGGTTGGGATAGTGACAAAGGTCAAAGTTGGGTTGCCTATGGGGAAGGGAATTGTGTGGCATGGGGTTTCCTTGATTGGGGACTCTCTTGGGGCCTTCCCTCTCATCCTCCTCATCCCTTCCACCTGGTTTAGTGCTACTCTAACTTCTTTTGTATGGTAATTATGAGAACTTAGTGATTGAGTTAAGATTCTATGGCAGGATACCTCCTAGTGCGCCGAAATTGATAACTCAAGAAATACTTCACCTCTTTGTATGATTCAACTTGGGAATTCTAGCCACGGAGTAGAGCTACATCATATCTGAGTTTGGTGAAGTTTTGACCATGAACGTTTTGTCGACGGCGTTTCTTGTGAACTCGACTTTTCTGTCCAGAAATTGAGACCAACAATTTTGAGAAATTTAGGCCCATAATCTTTATAGACTCCGTCCTTAGTCTCTAACAAGTGGTATCAGAGCTGATTAAGGACTTTGTGGAGAGTCTACTGAAGTGTGAAGACCCTCCTAGACCTACCATGGCCTGTGGGCGTGCCTAAGTGGAGTTCTGGAGGTTGGATGTGACTTCCGCTAAGGGGAAACTCTGCCGAAATTTCGTTGGCGCCGACACTTGTGAAGATTGTGTGGATCTACATTGTGACCAGCAAAGGGGGGAACTGAAACCTCTGATTGGGAGCTGAGGAGATGAATCAAGGGATTGGAGATGCAGCTGAGAAGAGGAGTGAGCCGCCACCATCCAAGATTGAAGCTTTGGATGGCTCCAACTATGAGGAATGGAGTGGGCGGATGCGGAGCGCCTTCAAGCGCTACAAGCTGCTGAAAATTGCAATGGGAGAGGAGAAGATGCTGGGGGAAGGAGATGCCCGCAATCGGTGGATTGAGAAGAGTGCGGTGCTGTACAACCTCATCCTCCAATCGGTCAACAACGAAATGTTCCAGCACATCAAGGATTTGGTGGAGTTGGATGATTCCGGACCGAAGGCATGGAAGCTGCTACGCGACGTGATTCAGCCCAACACGCTGCCGATGGTGATTGTGTTGGAGAAGGAGTTGGCTGCCCTCTCCATGAAACCGGGAGATGATGTCAAACCGGTCCTTAACAAGATCAAGGACACCTATGCGAGGATGGCAGCGGCGGGCAGCGAGGTGTCGCAGATGCAACATTGCACCAAGATCATCTCGGTGCTCAACAACTCGTGGGACAACCTCATCCCCACCCTCAACGTTCAACAGGACAAATGGACGCCTGAGTGGCTACGGCAGCAGCTTCTGCAGGAGGACTTCCGCAGGCGCCACACGGGAGGTGGTGCTGCCAACAAAACTGCTGAGGGGTATGGAGCTGCAGGAGGCAGCAGAGGAAGAGGGGGAGGGAGAGGCCGAGGCCGTGGAAGAGGCTTTGGCAGAGGGAGAGGCCGAGGTGACTATAATGAGGGGCATGGGAGCTGTGGTGGCAGGGGGAGCACCCGAATGGAGGGTGCGTGCTGGTACTGCAAGAAGGCTGGACACCCGTGGTTCAAGTGTTTCAGTGGGCCTGAGGGATGGGCCCCTCCAGGCATGAAGCCGCCAAGTGGTGAACGTGCACGCGGTGGCGCTGTGCAAGGTTCAGGTGCACAAGGTGATGGTGCACAAGGTAAAGCCGACCCTGGGATGTTCCTCATGGTTGAGGATGTGCAAGGGAGTGGGGGTGATGTGGGTTCAGTTGGGAAGGTTGTGATGCACCCCCTCACTCACTGGGTGATCGATTCAGGTTGCACAAGTCACATGACCCCACGGGCAGATTTGCTTGATGAGGTAAAACCCCCCGGAAGATCAAGTTTGTGGCTGCCGCTTCAAGTGTTTTGCTCCCTGTGATTGGTGTTGGGAATGCCAAGGTCATGGGAGCCAATGGAGGGCTTGTGGGGCTGGGGAATGTGCTGTTGGTTGAAGGTTTGTCCGCTAACCTTCTTTCTGTGCGCCGGCTGCAGAAAAGCAAGGCCAAAGTTAGGTTCGGCCCAACCAGCTGCCATGCAAAGCTTGGGAAGTTGCTGCTGTGGGACTTGGAGGAGAAGAGCAGCTGCATCAAGGACCTGTGGTAGCTGCCCATCATCCCTTGGAAAGGGAAACCACCAGCAAAGGCAACGACAGCGGCAGCGGCTAAAGCAACTGCGGGAGAAGAGGAGACTGCACCAGCTGCTGGGGCCCTAGATGCAGTCAAGAAGGTGCAGCAGCCACAGCAGCCACATTGTGAGGTGCTTGCTGGTGTGGATGCGACAGCTGCATGGGCAAAGGCTTCATCTGGGAGTGGTGAGGCTAATTGGGAGACGTGGCATGAGAGGCTGTGCCATGTGAACATGCTTATGCTGCAGATGTTGGTAAAGGAAGGGTACTTGAAGGGGCTGGAGGTGAAGGGGGGAGCAAAGGAGATTGGGAGCTGCCCTACCTACCTTGAGACCAAATTCACGAAGTTTCCCTTCAGCAGCAGCACAGGACCAGCCAAGGCACCACTTGCACTAGTGCACATGGATGTGGTGGGCCCCACGAGGGCCCTTTCTCTCTCGGGCAGCCGCTACTTCTTGACGATTGTGGACGACCACACGCGTGCGGTGTGGGTGTACCCTTTGAAGACTAAGGGGGAGGTGGCAGCGGCTATTCTTAAGGAGTGGATGCCGAGAGCTCAAAGGGAGAGCGGACACAAGGTGAAGGTGATCCGCACCGACAACGGGGGAGAATTCATTGGCGCTGATTTTGAGGCGGTGCTGAAGAAGGGGATCCAGCATCAGCTTACGGTGCCCTACAACCCTCAGCAGAACGGTGTGGCTGAGAGGTTCAACCGGACCCTGCAGGAAGGTGCTCGCACTCTCCTTGGGCGTGCAGGGCTGCCGGATCCGTTTTGGGTGACTGCACTGCGGCAGGTCGCCCTTGTGAAGAACAGGGTGCTGGCGACTGTGGGGGACAAGTAGTGGGTCCCCTACACCAAGTGGTATGGGAGTGCACCAGCAATCAACATGCTGAGAGCCTTAGGGTGCATGGTGGTGTTTCATGTGCCTAAGGAGAAGAGGGGAAAGCTGGAAGCTTCTGGGAGATGGGGTGTGCACTTGGGGCTTGCTAAGGATCACAAGGGCTGGTTGATATGGGATTTGACCAGCCAGCAGCTAACTGTGTCAAGGGATGTGAAGTTCCTTGAATCCTTGTACTATAAGGAGTGGAAGCAGCAGCAACAGAAGCTTCCTACTACACCGCTGATCATTGAGGCTGATGAGGTGCAGCGGCCTTCGAGGCAAGTGCAGGTCACTGTCTGAGAGGAGGAGATTTCTGGGGTGACTGAGGATGGGGGAGAACCTGAGGTGGAGGAGCAGCAGCAGCAGCAGCCACAGCAACAGCAGCAGCAAGGTGCTCCACAAGGTGCCGCATGTCCGGCTGACTCTGCTAGGAGGGATGTGCGCTCTCCTAACCGGCTGACCTATCCGAGATTTGGCAAGCCAAAGGTGGTAACGGCTGGGAGTGTGGCTGAGTAGTGTGATGAGGATGAGATAGCACACTGCTACTGGGCAGCCGTCCCTGAGCCCAAGACGCTAGCTGAGGCATTGAGTGGGCCGGATGCTGAAAAATGGAAGCAGAGTGTGAAGGAGGAGTATGACTCTCTGCTGGAGAATGAGACGTGGGAG